GCAGGACGGGAATGCGAGCTAAGCCCGAAGCRACGAATCCAGCAAGGAAAATGGGTCAAGGAACAGATGTCGGGAGGACGACCGAGCGCCGTGYGCAGGTAACCAGGTCAGCAGGCAGGAACTCTGATTAGAGTAAACCCAACTCCATTTCCCTTTCATAATCAAAATACTTGAAAATCTAATTTATACCATGAGCCAACTGCAACAAAAGTGACTTAAAAAGCTGTYGATGCTTTCAATTGCAAACGCAATAAAATGCCATTGTATTAATTCAGTTGAAAATTATCTTTAAGGAAAAAGAGATTGGTAAATCCCCACTAGGTACACAATAAAATGAGAACTGCCAACTTAAATAATTAAGCATACATAGTAAGCASAACTTATCTATTTTGGGTTATTATTCATTATTTAATATTGTTAATTGTGTAATTTCGCCAAAACTTAARTACTTGTTTATGACAAACAATTTTAATGGCAGTAGAAAAGAAAAAGCACCTGAAAGATGCTTTGCAGGAAGTACTGAATTTAAGAACAGACAAGTTAAGGTATATGCAGGGATTAGTAACCAAATATCTGGCTTTAATTCKACATTTTTAAAAAGCAGTTCACACATGCTTCCAATTGAAGGAAGGTTTTGTTTCCTCCCCCTTTCCTCCTAGGTATCTTGCACTTGTTAATCTAATCACAGACCATATGAAGAGAAGGACCCAACCCCAGGCAGAACCTCTACCCTGATGCTGCTCCTCACAGATGCTTGATTATCCTGTGCTTAAGAGCCTTCAGATTGAAGGTTCCACAACCTTCTTCAGCATCTTCTTCCTCTGCTTCATCTTCATTGCAATTCTTTTCCGTTCTCATTCATATCTGTGGTAACTACCCAATTTGGAGTAACATCACCTTGCCCTACACACATGATGAAGAACACAAGTCTCCACAGTGCCCCTTTTATACGTCTGAAGACCTAAGTCCCCACTTCTGTATTTTCTTTCAGTTCAACAACATGAATTCCTTCACAAGCTCTCCTTCCAGGTCACACTTTACACACCTCATATTTTCTCTAAGCTCTCCTGGACTTTCTACAACCAAGTCATGTATTCACGTGCAACACTGAAATCTAGCCTCAAACCGAGGATGCAAATGGAGCTGGGGCACTGTCCTGTTCACGTATCTCAGTAACCTGTTTGCTTGGCTGCATGTGCCCCAACATGCCCTTTGTTGACATGTCTTTAGCTCACCATCTCCTCTAATTGCCCTTTTCTCCCCTACTTTCTAAGGGCTGCTAYGAGCCACTTGTTCCCCATCTTTTACCTGTGAGCCTGATCACTATCCCTCTGTATGACCYTGTATATATTATCTGTGCAATTTCACCTCACTCTTTGCCTATAACTTGTCCAACTTGTCCCGATCTTTTTGAATTCTACTCTGATCTACCAACACACTCACAGTTCCTCTYATCTTTGTGGGAGTTACAAATTATGAACAGACCTGAGAAGCACTCGCACTATTCCATCATCCTCACTCATCCAGGTTGGACAGATCCAATCTTGATCCATTCCTGTCTTTGACAGTGAACCTCTGATGATTCCTGCAAAACTTGTTGGGTGGATGCCCCATTCATGAAGCAGTGGCTCCACAGGAGACCTTATGACACTGCCTGATCCTGGACAGCAACTGAAAAGGGACTTGAAACTCCAAGCTTGTCTTTAATTAATGRCATTAATATTAATATATTAATTAATATATTGATAAAGTTAATATTAATGTATTATTAATATATTAATGGTATTACTGATATCAAGTTAAAGACATTCTGGAGAGTTTCTGCTAGTATTTTCTTTAGACAACCATATTTTCTTTAGACAAGAACCTTGTTTGAACATTTCTGAGGTATCAAAAGAGAGGTTCTAGCAAAATCAAGAAAAACTTTTTTCCAAGCAGAACAAGCCTCTCTGGGAATTAAGAACAGACACAAACTTTTCAGCTCTTTTTTATAAGCAAAAAAATCAATACTAAAGATGCACGAATCTGAAACYTTTTTTCCAGGCCGTTTGAAAGCTCCCAAGCAAATAAAACCACAGACCTACGTTAAAGCAAAACCGTGTAATCGAAAAGCTGACCAAAGTCAGATACACTCACATCAAATCACTTTTTTTCTCTCTTCAGAAATCGCAGAGCAAACCAGTACTGTTTGATATATGAATTTACTTTTAAAAATAGGAAAAGAGCTCTAGACCTTCTAAAACTGAATTTGTTTGGGATTGGAGGAATGAATTTTACTGAAGCTCTCCTGGCATGTATGAAGGATTTCATACATTTTCATTTCATACCTTTTTCTCCAAAAAGTACTGAAATATTTTTCTATCTCCTTCTGCTAAGGCACAAAGTTTTACACTGGGATTAGTTCCCACTGAGGCCTTGAGTCAGAAGCATCATCAGAGAGATCATTTGTATTGGATTACTTTAKACCATTTTTATTAACACCTTTCAGGCTAATCTACTGGCTTTCAACACTTAAAAATCACATGTAAACAAATGAACTGTAGCTTCTAAATGCTTTTTCTAGTTCTCTAACTATGAAAAGCAAATTTAGAAAATTTAGGTAATTTAGTCTCAAGAACAAACAAGCAGAAATTGGTTTGCAGTTAAAAAAAATGTATCCTGCATCACAAGAAAGTAGGAAAAAACATTATTTTACTTGTTTTTGTTTGTTTTGCTTTTAAAAAAAAAGAGGCTTACTTGCCAAATACTAATGCACGCACACTAACTCTCTCCTATCTAATGTTAAATTAGTGGTAAATATGGAATTTCTAAGTTGTAGGAGATTGCAAGTTAAGCTACACGGGCTATTTCAAAACAGAAATTTATTTCCCTGCACGTCTCTCGGTGGCCAGTGAAAACTGCCTGCATATACAAACACCACAAACACTTCTTTCCTTGTACAAAAAAAAAMCAGGAGTTTCCTCTGGCTCTAGTGTATTTTTTTTTTCTCCTTTCTATCACGGTGGTGCCCAAACAAACTAAGTTTAGGAAACCTTGCTGTAAATTTATACTCTACCTCTATGTCTCTTCTGACAAGTAGGAAGGATAAACTGCTCATCTTGGTAAGTCACTGAGTGCATACTCCTTAAGCAGTTCCCAGTTTAAATGTTCCCAATATTGAGGTAGTAATTTGAGAAGCAGGGGAAAAATCAGGAAGCTTTTAAGTGTTGCCTCTTAAAACGTAATCAGTAACCATGCAATGCAATGGTAGAAGTAACAGAGACATCAGTAATGAACCCAAGTCAGAAAAGCTGAACTAGCATTATCAGGAGTGGGAATTCTTCAGGGAAATAAAAAGCTGTGTGGAGAACACTTACAGTTGGAGGTCACCAGAAGTAAAACCAGAGTGTGCTCAGACCTTTCTCCATACATAATCCCCCCTTCCAAGACTCCTCTTTTCTTCTAAGAATGACGACAGTTTTTAGGACATGCACCTTTCCCGCATTTCCCTATCCAGTTCACTGAAAAAAATGACCATATTTCTCCAAACATCCCTCCTAACRGAATAAGCAACTTTCCAGGACTGGACATAGGCAACTACAGTGTCCAAACAATGTGAAGCAAAGGGTTTTTTCTGAAGAAAGCTTTTTATACCAGTTTTTCAAAGTAACCTCAAAGACTTTTTTCCATGCACATGGCATATTATCAAGTGAAATAATTTTACTATTAAAGTCTGTTCAGAAAAATGTAGCATTTTTTTAAAAAGTCATCCCTATTTAGTACTACGATATGAAACACGAAACAGATGCTCAAAATAATCAGCCTTTCATTTGCATAACACGTTAGTAACTTCTTGCTTATGTCCACATCAAGATCCTTATAGCTTATCCACAAATTATATATCTCGTTCTAAAATAGTATCTTGCTCTAAAATGATATATCTTGTTCTAAAAATAAAATTGCTGCTTTTCTAGTGTATACAAGTAATGTATATTTATAATTGTATAATGTATAATTATGTATAATATATACATAATTAGAAAGATGAATTAAATCTTTAAAAACAATGTTTGAAAATATCTTTTGCTGATTATGTTAACAGGAAGAGGGAAAAAAAAAACCCTAAAAAACTAAACACATTAGAAGCTTGCAAAAGGGCCCAAAGGTTACAATGACTTAATGTTTCACTCCAGCCAAAGACTTTGTTTCCCATCCCATTATTTAAGATAAATGCTGAAATATAATAAATAAGGAACATCTAATCTCAAAATGTACATCGACAAATTTAAACAGTATTCTCATTAACCCTTCCCAGAACCTTTTAAATAGGGTCAGTGGAAAGGGCTTTCAAATGGTCCTCAGCAGACACGGTACATCATGTTCTAGTAATCTATTGCTTAAAAAGGAAAGGTCTTTTACAGCCAAGCCCCAGAGGGTTTTAAGATCATAACACTAAAAATCCGTAAGTACAAACTTTCTTTGATATACGGTTCAATACTATAAAATATAAATTAACAAGGATATTAATCATTTTCCATAATAACCAGGCTATAATCTAGAAAAACGGACCGAAAGAGAATCATACTTACCACTCGTTTCACAGTTTCCCAAGATATTCCAGTTTCCTTACGGGGAAGCACCTGTCTAAACACCATTAGCTCATCCACACACTTTGCAGGGACCGGCGTAGAACAGCAACGTAATCTCTAACCGATGACACAAATATCCCCTCGTAGCTGCAGGCCGCTGCTATGAAAAAGCAGCGTTTATCTGTTTGTGGCTGCAGTAGCTCAAGGCTCTGCGCACCACGCAGCCCATCGGTTACAGCTGTTAACTGCGGAGCAGGGCACCGGCTGACATCTGCTCCTGGCACAGTCACTTAATGGTTCACTTCCAGGTCCTGAAAGGACTGCAGCCTCTCGGCAGRGACGGTGTGGGACCCCGTGTCCGCCCGCCTCCTACGCTGCCTGCCCGCTGCTGGCTTCCCCCTCGCCTCGCAATGCAAATCTGGGAGCACTCACATCTGCCACCGATCGACCCAAGTCGTGAGCAATCTTCTCCCATCGACCCGGGGTCCCCCCTGGGAACTTGACCATGCTTCTTGTCAGCTGGCTCAGGTCCTCCTCTGTCCACTCAGGCGCCTGCAAAACATTGGTACGACATTCATTACGCTGGGATATTGCACACGTTTTGGTGGGGTAAAATACTGGGKCGGGGGGGAGAGGGAAAGCATTTATCAAATCATGTAAAAAACAAAAAAACACAACCAATTTAGTAGCTTCAAATATCTGGGTAGCACCACCCTATTTCATTGCAGAAAACGCATAAAAATAACAGGAAAACAGTAAAGTTAAAAATTACAAAGCCTTAATGTTCAAAAAAATGCATTTTCCGTATGATCTACATTGATCTATTTAATTTTTATCTACACAATGTGGAATGTACAGTACAACAATGCAGAGTAAAGCTCAAAAGCAACAATATTTCTATTAAAGATTAAATTGCAGTTTGAAATTTAAAAAAAGAAAGCTGGCTTTTTTTCTAATTTCGAATGCAAGATGTGTTTACCAAAGCATAAGAAAACGTACTCATTTTTATATTTTTAAAATCTCCAAACAAAACAGAGCAATCACTTTAGCTCTTTGTCGCTGTAATCACGGTATGTTTTGRCTTTCCTGGATGGCGGAGATGAAATCTGTTGATTCCAAGAGCCCACCAGGCCCTCCTGAACCAAACGCCCGCACGAGGCAGCAGCCTGGCTACAGCTCCCAACCGAACGGATCCAGAATCCAGTAACCAAAACGCATCCGAGTGCTCCACTCCAGGTGCATCCCACAACCTGCTAAACCCAGCCTAAGGGCCAAAGGCAGGGAACAAAGCCAGGGAGCGCCCTTAATTGCGGTGGTTGGAGGCCGGGGCCGGCCTCAGAGCGCAGGCCGCGGTAGCGGCCCGGACACTCGCGCGTCGCYGCCAGGCCCCAGCCCTTGCTTTGCTACCGGCCACTCGGCCGGTTTTATTTATTTTTAAGGCATTCTGTATGACATACCCCTTCTCATCAGCGCTGCCGCTAATGAAGGGGCATCTCTCGCGGAGCCGGCATCACAGAGCCATCAGCGGCGAGCCGCGGCCAGAGGTGAGTGACCCCGGGGACCATCCCGGCAAGGGCAGCAAAGCTCCGGCCTGACACTAATCCCGCCTGTCATTCTCCCACTGTGCTCCAACCGCAGTGACATCCGCCCGCRCACCGCCGGCTTAACGGGGCCCTTCCTGACTTTTTACTGTCTCCCCCAATCAATGGCTCCGGCGTGCTCTTTTCACCATGTCCAAATGGCAGCTTCGCTCATAATCAGAGCGCGCTGCTCCCGCTAAAGGGCTTCCCGAAAGGCCCCGCCATTTGCATTCATTTGCAAAGCAAACTACTTTTATTCACTTTGTTCTGCTATCAAGAGTGTTCCCTGAAGCAGATAAATTGGCATAAATACAACCTGCCACTTAAAAGACAGTAAATAATAGCCAATGGGAGCAAGATTTCATCAGTCGCTCGGGTTTGGACCCATGTAGTCCTTTATTCAAAGCTGAAAGCCCCAGACATTCATATTTGTACTGCTTTTAATACAATGTAAAATTCACATTAAACATAACGTGTTTAAATAACATGTGTATGTGCATGTTAGATCTCACACATACATTACATATATAACCACATAATTACACTCCAGCCTATAGAAGATGTGCTAAATACACTGCACATCTCCACACTGCACAATAACTTTTAATACTTTCTTGTACTAAATAAACATACTTCACATAATATTTTATCCAAAAATATTTCCCTGAGATTTTTAGAAGGGAAGTTTTGGGATGCTTAACACTTTATTTCTAAAAATAAAATTTCATCACTATAATTTACACTACAAATATTTTTAAAAGACTTTGGTTAAAAAAGCATCTTCAAAAATTAGTGAAAAAATTCCTAYAGCAAACATTTTAGTATGCAATTTACTTTTTGAGAACAAAACTTTTTGAGTTATTCTTTCTAACTGCACCTAAAGCATATCTGAACCATTACAYGCAGGAATCAAGATGATCTTTTCAGTGACATACATACACTGGAAGCTTTCTGTTATGTTTTATTTTCAGACTTTTTTGGTAARCTTTCATTAGGCAATGTGCTCAAAACTTTTAACACTTGTTTTTAAATACTACAGAATTCATGAGCTTATCTCCCTAAACAAAGTGACAATCACTCTATAGATCTGTAAGTAATTACATMGCTAACTCAAAGCTCAGGAATCCACTAGCTAGAGTAAAATATCAATATATTAATCTTACTTCAAGCCAACAATAATTTTAAGAGGGGAAAAGATCTGAAACACTTATAAATTCAGAAAACTTTGGAAAAGCTTGTAGAAAGGTCCCTTCCAACCTTAGAGGTCCCTTCCAACCTTAAATATTCTGAAATATTCTGAAAGGCTGCTGTTAACCATTATGGCTGTAAAGACCTTTTGTGAATTTGCGGTTCCTCAGCAACAGTTAATTGTGTCTTCAGATGCAACAGCGCCGACTGCGACCCAACTACCACCAGCAGCTACGAGGGTGGTCACGGTGTGAATGTGTTCTCCCCGTTGTAATCTGGAGCCAACTGTAACTGCGAGAGTCAACTGCATGCATAAACATACTGCTTTGTCACCTAAAACCATGTGTGTCCAATATCACGGAGACGCTGGGCCAAAATTCATCTCTACAGTAAAGTAATGGAAGCCACCACATGGTGAGGGGACAGCTGTTGTGACTACACGAGCATTCAGATTTTGCATCAGAAAAGCCCCRTTCTGGGATTAACTCTCCATACTGAATACAAAATGGGAAGTACACGGAGTTACGGTCTGCGGGCTTTGAAATGAAAATAAACAAGTGTAAATATTAAAAAATTCATAGCATCCCCTCCAATGATATCCCCTTAATATGCTTTATTGCACATAGCTCACAAGCCCCCGGTTCAGCCAAACTGCTCTGCGCCTTCCAGAGGGAATGTGACTGTGGTTTATTCCCAAGACCACTGCTACGCACGGACCCCTTCCTAGCGGTTACACACCACCTCTCGCAGCAGGACACAGCTACACACTAAGAGTACACTAAATATAAAAGCTCTGCTTTTCATTGACTTTATAGCTATTATTTAGTTAACAAGGCATTTGTGTTCAAGAAAGCTGTTTCACTCAGAACTGTTAACATTAAAAATTACAAAAGCACATACCATATTCAGTCTCAGATACACTTACTTCCCGTGAAATTGGGGTTGTATGGAAATTTGGATAATGCTTAAAATCTGGCCAGGATTTTGTGGTAAATTTCATCAGATTTTAGTTAATTCACTATTTTGTGCACTTCTAGTTCCTGATTTTTCAAATAAACCAGGAAGAGGCATCTATTTAAAGGTGAAGTAAATACACATTTTTAGAACAGGGTCCTAGCAAAATCTCAGGCAGTTTTGCAATTCAGAAAATATTATGCCTACAGGTGGCTGGTGCCTCTGCAAAGTAACAGGATATAAGAACAGGGTATAAAAGTATTCTCAGTTTAATTTCTGGACGATTAGATCTTACTCTCCATGCATTATTCTTCCATATTCTTGCCTTATATATTAAAAACCTGCTGCAGTCAGACTGCAGCTTTGTGATCCAGCTACGTGATGAACACTAACGACACCCTCCAGTTACAACATAGTATTATTAACCTGAATTCATATTCAAAGTCTCAACATATTCCTGCAGACCTTACTTGAATCCAAAATGCTTCATCATGAGCATGAAGACAGGCAACAGCAACATAAGGAGAACTACAGTGTTTTGGACCAAGGGTCCAGCTGGGCCACTAAGCTCAACATTTGTGCAGAAAGCTTTGCAGTGTGCTTGGGGCCAASAGGAAAGCCTGGGCTTATTACTCATCTTTTCCATCCCCGCTCTGCTTTGAAAAGAACAGGAGCCACACGTAGATACCAAGAGTACGAGCAAGGCAAGTTCCCCAAATATCCTTCCTATCTTGCAATTATTTTCAGCTCACATAATTTCTTCAGCCTGATAAGGTTCACCTACTTAGTAACCATCAATGAATCTCTCTTTCAAAGGCCTGTCCAGTCTCCTGTGAATCAATCTAAACTTTCTGGACCTGCAGAGGATCCTCCTTCATGAGGAGCTGTGCACTCTTCCCATCCTTATACAATGGACCACGTCACTTTGTCTCCTCTGAAGCTGACTCCTGCTGGCTTTGGTGACCCCAAGATCTTGTTTTTGAATGAAGAACCAGCAAATAGCCCAGTTCTATTCACCTTCCCTTACAGTTTTGATTAAAACATCACTCCGAAATATCCCTCTATTCCTTTCAGGCTAAAGAAACCTGGCCTACTCAACTGTTTTCTCACGTGAAAGCCATTTCACACCGTATATTATCCCTGATGCCTCTTTCTAAACCTTCTCTAATTCCAATATATCCTCTTTGAGATGAGATACCAAAACTGGACACAGCATTCAAGGGTAGAATTAACCATCCATTTATCCAGTGCAATATTGGTGCTTCTCTATCTTCTCTATGCCTTTCTCAAGAAAAAAAAAGTAACACTGGATTTTTTTTTAATGATATGGAGTGGTGTTTTAATTAACCCAGCAGTCATAATGCCTAATAATTCGCCAGCTCAGAGCCCATGTTGTGCATGAACTTAGGATAGTCATCCCTTGTATCAACACTTGCAACTTYATATTTACTTACAAGCAAATATCCTTCTGCCATTTTGTTGTCCAGGCCCTCAAAGTCATAAGCTCATTCTGCAGTTCTCAACTATCTGCTCTCAGCTTCACTGTCCTAAACAGGTGCATCATTGATAAACCCTCTCACTTCGGYGTTAGCCCTTCTGGAAAGTGAAATAGACTCTAACCATAAATATACATGGAAAAAGTGATTTTGTCAACTTTCCAAAGACATCCAGAGGGTTTGGACTTTAGACACAAGTAGTCTAAAAAGATATAATAGTGACACGTAAGTTTTCTTCATTACATTCTTATTTTTTCATATATAAATTCATATATAATTTTACTAGTACTTTCGACTCAGTTCATCTACTAATATGATTAATTTCATAATTCCA